CAGCTGTAGCAGAAACTGTTACAGTGGGAATTGGTTATGCCCAGCTCGAAGAGTTGTGTGCAGCCATGAATATTCCTTGCATGTCCGAGCCAACTTATATCAAATATAGAGACAATTTAATTGATGATTTTCAAAACACAGCCATGGAAAATATGAAAGCGGCTGGCGAAGTTGAAAAACAACTTGCTCTTGAGAAAAACAAAGTTATAAACGGTATTCCGTACATAACAGTTGTAACAGATGGTAGTTGGATGAAGAGATCGTATGGCAGCGCCAACGACTCTCTTTCCGGTATTGAAGCCATAATTGGTTACCGCACGGGAAAGATTCTTTTCGTCGGTGTCCGCAATAAATTTTGTACGCTATGTGATGTGGCAGAGCGGAAAGGTATTAAACCAAGAGATCACAAATGCTACAAAAATTTTGATCGTAACGCAAGCTCCACAAGCATGGAGAGCGATGCCATCGTGGAAAATTTCAAATGTAGCCTCGAAATGCATGGTCTGATTTATAAAACAGTTGTTGCCGATGGTGACAGTAGCGTTTATCAGGCCATTGTTGATAACAGACCATACCGTGACCATATGGTGACAGTAAGAAAGATAGAATGCACCAATCATTTGCTTCGCAATTTATGCAAAAAGCTAAAAGCTGTGGCAGAGATAACTCAACCAAAAATGCAGAGACAGCGTGGCTTTGTAGAGGTGCGAAATATTGTACGAAACAACATTTTAAAAATTCGAAAAGAAGTAATAGAAGCAGCCGCTCTTCGAAGAGAAGAAAGGCAACCTCAACATTACCAAGCTATAGAATTACAAAAAGATATATTGAACATTCCTAGCCATTTTTTTGGCGAACAAAAGCGATGTGAAGCACGTAGTCGCAAAGAGAATTGTGATGAAACAAAGAAAAATTATATACCATTTCTAAAATTACACGGTCTCTTTCCAAAAATTGAAAGTGCTATCACGTATCTAAGTGCTTACTCCGAGAGCTTATTATTAAATTTAACGAATAATCCAGCAGAATCGTACAATTCGATAATCTGTACACTAATTGGCGGAAAGCGTATTAATTTTGGTAAACGAGGCTCTTATAATGCTAAAATTGCAGGAGCAGTTGTGCAATACAATACGCAACAAGTACTTATACAAGTACATCAAAGCATGTGTAAGACTGTTCCGCCTATTGTGGAGAACTTGGAAAAGCGACGACAAATAAAAGTTGCGAAAACCAGAGAATTTCGAGAAGCACAGGGAAGGCAAAAAAAATTCAAACGAGAGCCAGGAACAGATCGTCATTACGGTCCACAATTGCAAAAACCGGATATTCCATCCGATATATTTCAACAATTTCAGCAAAGCCATTTTAAAAAATTGTTGGAAAATGCGACGAACTGGCAGAAAATTGAACTCAATACAAGAAAGCAGAGTGAATCTGAATTATGGTTATCATTGAGACGAGAAATGTTAACGGCATCCAATTTTGGAACCATATATCGCATGAGACCGACAACGTCTTGCGCAGCGACAGTAAAAGCCATTTTATATCCTTCATTCATTGATACCGCAGCCACAAAATATGGTCGCGATAATGAAGAAATAGCAAAGAATGAATTGGCCATACAATTAAATAAAGAAATAAAACCTTGCGGATTATTCATCGATACTGAAAATCCATGCTTGGGTGCTTCCTCTGACGGACTTATTGACGAAAATGGTCTGGTGGAAATCAAATGTCCTTTGTCGGCAGAAAATTTAACAGCGGAAAAAGCCATTGAGACATTGCCTTCTTTAAATGGTATCTTTGAAAAAAAAATCCGCACGAAATGAATCGGAAGCACCGATTTTATTATCAAATTCAAGGTCAATTAAATATTGCACAGCGAGAATATTGTATTTTTGCTGTTTGGACTCCAAAAAGCATGAAAATATTGCGCATTGATAGAGACAATATTTTTTGGAGAAATCAGATGCTGCCTTCCTTAACACGCTTCTATAACGAATGCATGCTTCCAGAAATCTTGGACAGTCGTCATAATAGACATATGACAATAAGAAATCCAAGATATATTATGGAAGCTAAAGAAGAAGATGAAAAAAAATTATTTAGTCAAACAAGTAGACAAAATATTATAGTAAGCGAAAATGGCATGGAAAAGAACAAATGATTCAAACCGAACGTTTCACCAATGGAAATAGCAACGACTAATATTGTTACTATTGCTCTGAATAAAGAGCAAGACGATGACTGCATGATAATAAGTCATTCAAATAAAAAAGATATAACTGAAGACGATATGGTAAGCCATAGAAAGCTTTTAGATCACACATTTGCTTCTCTTTATTCGATAAAAAAGAATGTCTTGCCTATAACAAGTCAATTAAACGATGAATCGTTAGATTTTTTTTGCGCATCATAAGAGAAACTTCTTCTTTCGAAACACAAAGTGTGCTATATTTAGAATACCCTCACATAATTGTAGCTAGTCATAGTGACAAAAGCTTACAAATAGTTGGAGGGAATTGTAGTAATCACTGGAGATGTATTTTCTTTGACGGCACCAAACTTCGCGTGTACGATAGTTTACCTGGCTGTACATACGATAAATTGGTAGCTAAACAAAAAAATTACATACATCTTCGTTATACGACTATAAGCTCAAGTGACATAATTTTTGAAAAGGTTGAAACACAACCTGATGGGACGAGTATATTTTATACATGTATAAAATATATTATATATATATATATGCATGTATATATAAATATATACACATACACAAATGATCAAGTGATATTTCTCTTAAAAAATATATGGAAAAGTACATGTCATAATACGAGCGATATTAAAATTTTGTATTCAAACTATGCAATAAAGACACATCTATATTTTACTATCATCGACACGCTTAGATATGTTTCGATATCTGCGAAACGATACAGCAGTAAAAATACGCGATTTGTCTCAATTCAATATATTGAACACAATGCAAAAGATTACTTTTTCCATTATGCATGTTTCAAATAATAATGTGTCGGTAATGGCGGAACTAAAAACGTCGGTATTATCGATATTTTTAGTTACGTTTGGATGAGGGCGCTAACCCGTCGGAGTTTGCCCGTCGCTTTAGGATCCCCTTAATCTTGGTCCGGGCTTTCTGAATCACTTCCTCGTATTGCCCTTGCGGGCAGGTGACAGTGACCGCCGCTGTTTTTGGCAGCCCTCGCTTTTTGGGGGCGGTCTCTGCACTCTTCTGTCCAGGCTTCGCTTTGCCCTTTGCTGCCGTTTGTGCAGTGTCGGGTTTGGCGGGGCCAGGTTTAGATGTTGTTGCCTGACTCTTTTTCTTCTTGCCTCCCTTTCTGACTACAGTTGCCCAGGTTTCTCCCTGGATTGAAGCTGTGGTTTTCGATTGGGAGGAGAAGGAGGAGGATGTTTCCTTATTTCCTACTGGCACTGTATTTGGCACCTTGGAGGTGATGGTCCTTTCCTTAGTACCTCCCGAGGCTTTCTTTTTAGAGGGCCCCGGGGTGGGAACAGGGTGGGCCGTTCCTAACTTGGTGCTACTCTCCTTAGTATCTCTTTGTTGCTGTTTTTTAACGGCAGCGGAGGTGGGAACAGGAATAATTACAGTTCCGGTTCCTAGTCCCTTTCCTTTCCTAGTATCCCTGTCTTTGGTTGAAAGAGGGTTTGTCATCCCTGGTTTTCTGGGCTGGGGGCCTTGCCCGATGATTTCCCCAAAGACCTCTTCCATCCTCCCGCACCAGATGCTAAAAAGACTATCCAAGCGCTTGTTTATCAGGCTGTCTATGGTTGACAGTCTGACTGGCACTCTCACTGTGGTCTTCCAGCACCTTGGTGACTCCCTTGATTGGCGGTCTTATGGCTTGTGGCCATTCCTCCTTGGGAGGCAGTGTAACACTCAGTGTTGTGAGCGCGTCACTGTCCGCTTGTTCCCTGGGAGTATCCGTTTCCATGACCTCCTGTGCAGGTGGTATGTATCCTGTCCTGGCCCGGTTAACAAGATGAGGGTGAACGTACTGGCTTTCAAGTGCCAGTCGAAAATTCTCCCTCGCTTGTTCCGCGCCTCTTTTTGAAGCCGCAAGTTCTCCATACGGATGGTCCGTAGCTGTTTGCGGAGGTTGTCAGCCTCCGCCTGTTCCGCACTAGGAGCGTCGAAGTTTTGCGCTCTGATGGCGAGTGTTGTTGCACACGCCCTTCCTACGTTAACTGCTGTTTTGAGTTGGTTTACGCAAGGTGCCTTTGAGGTTCTTCGAAACCGCAGCAACTCTATGGATTTTTAATAGTTGCTCCAGGGTCCTCGCAGATATGTCCGGCGTTGGGGCGTCTCGAAGTTCCTCCATGATGTCCTCCACGCTCGGTATATTCTGGCTAGCTTTTGTCTCCGGAGGGACGTAAGTGTCGTCTAAGATCTTCTCCTCCTCCAGCCTTTCCTTCTCTTTCCTTTGCTCCTCTTGCTTAATAGCTTCCCTTCTCTTCTTTCTCTCATAGTCGCCTGTGGTGAGGGCGACTTCTTTTCCTGACTCCGAATCGTGCGACTTAGTCGACGCAATGGACTCAGTTGTCTTGTCCGCTTGTGGTGGATCTCAGTGATATTCTTGAGTCCACTCTTTCCAGTGCTACTACCGGAATTTTTACCTTAGGGCTTAAATCCAGTTCCACAACTGTTTCCGCCTCCATATGCTCATCCTCCTCCACGTCTAAAGATTTGCTTATTATTTTGTTTTTGTTTGTATTCTCCATCTTGTTCCCACGAGTGTGGTAGGAAAGTATGTCCGCTCGGGCAGAGCCTCCTTGCCCGGGTAAGCCCTAAGATACACTGAGGTTCAGGCATTTGCCCCAGTGGAACCGTTCAAGACCACAAATATTATCCCGTTGTGGCCACGAGCCTCTCGGCACGGTATCTTAACACCTTCAGCTACGGGGAGTGCATTTACCAGGTATATAAATATGAAACCGGAATTTGCCCATAGATGGCCCTAGCTGTCAATGTAGTTACCGTCAAACCGCGTCATTGGCGCCATTTTCTTGTTTTGACATCTGATAAAGATTTTCAACTCACAACAATACAAATTTCATACAACAGCATAGTTTTTAATAGCGTTGAACATGTCGAATTTTGTGCCTGGAAACTACGATTTGCGGACAGCATTGATTTTCTGTTACCATTTGAAGAAAACTGCTGCAGAATCGCATCGAATGCTTGTCGAAGCTTACGGTGAGCATACTCTTGGTAAATCACAGTGCTTTGAGTGGTTTAAAAAATTCAAAAGTAGCGATTTTGACGTGAGAAACGAAGAACATGGAAGAAGGGTTTGATCTATTATGAGCTGCTAAAACCTGGCGAAACCGTTAATACTGAACGCTACCGACAACAAATGATCGATTTGAATCAAGCTTTGCGTGAAAAACGACCAGAATATCAAAAAAGGCAACACAAAGTGATTTTGCTTCATGATAATGCACCATCACACACAGCAAAACCGGTCAAGGAAACGATTGAGGCGTTTAGTTGGGAAATACTTTCGCATGCGGCTTACTCACCAGACTTGGCTCCATCCGATTACTACTTATTTGCATCGATGGGACACGCACTTGCTGAGCAGCACTTCACTTCTTACGAAAATGTACGAAAATGGCTCGATGACTGGTTTGCCTCAAAGGAGCAACAGTTTTTTTGGCGTGGCATCCACAAATTGTCAGAGAGATGGGAAAAATGTATAGCTAGCAATGGGCAATACTTCGAATAAAATATTTTTTATCATTTTCATACAATAAACGTGTATTTTCTATACAAAAATTCCGGTTTCATATTTATATACCTGGTAATTCAAGGAGCACTACTCTCTAGGCATACATTATGGCTCCTACTTCCCAGACCTTACCGGGATGATTGAATCTACCGGCATCGCTCTGGGAGATCATTGGAGGCCCTCTTCGTATGCCAGGGACAAATACACCCAACCCACCCAATACCCCAAAAACCCACCCAGCCCTTAGGTTGCCATTGATAGACCAAGTCTACCTCACGGAACGGCCTCCGGTTTGTTAATTAGGGTGAACTCCCCGGCCGATGTAGGATCGCGTACACTCCTACTAACGGTGTCGACACACTGGGTTTGTTTCGGAGTTTTCCTTCTCCTAGGCTGGCTCTTAGATCCCTTCCACTTCCTGCTCGCGCAGGAAGCTTCAGGGAAGCCCTTTCACCACGACAAGGTGGCCAGACGTCGAAACGGAACATACTGCCTCCACGCATATACTTTTTAATGCGTAGTAAGGTTCCACATAGGTTTACAACTTTCCACGCGAAGCGAGGTTCAACGCAAACCTATGTGTCTAGTTTTTTGATAGTGGAGCCCCCCCGAAGGGGGGGGCGGAACCCACTGTGTCCAATCGTGCAGTGTCCAATCGTGCAGTGTGCGTGTCCAATTGTGCGGTGTCCAATCGTGCGGTGTCCAATAATTCTGTGTCCAATCGTGCAATGTCCAATCGT